AAGCACTTATTCTACTGAGCCATCTCCCCGGCCCCAAGATCTTGCATTTTTTGGTTAGTTTTTTAGAACATAAATTAACATTCTTTTTGATGATATGCTAATCGAATTGTTTTCCTAGTTTCATTTTAAAATGTTTATTGTTTGTGTGGGAAAATGCACTTGATTTTTCCATATTAATCCTGTATCCTACATCCTATTTAACTTGTTTATTGGTCCTGGTCATGTAGTGAGCTCCACCTTTCTTCTATTGGCACCTGTATGGCCTGGTGGGCTGTGACTCAGTCAATCAGATATTCTCCGCAGGCTGACTCTTTACCAAGTGACCCAGGGACGCAAGGGCTGGTAGGAGTCATTCGCATTGGCTATGTCATGCTCACCAGAGAGGTGTTTTTTTTTTTTTTTTTTTTTTTAAGTGAACACAGCAAGATTTTATTGTCTTCACAATAAAACAAAACATGAAAAGTTAAAGCCGGATCACGTGGCCCTTTCTTTTCTTATCTCCTCCCAGTTCCGAATGCTTGCGTGTCTTAATAGCCAGCATTCTCTTAGATCTGCAGTTGGGCTCCACACACTCAAGCCTCAGGACAATCTTCTTTGTAGTCTTGGCCTTCTTCGGGAGAATCGGCTTAATCTGTCCACCATGGCCACTCTGCTTCCTGTCATAACGTCGCTTTCCCTGGGCATATAGGGAATCCTTGCCTTTCTTGTACTGGGTCACTTTGTGGGGGTCTATGCTTGCCGCACTACTTATAGAAAGTTCTTCGGGTTTTAGGAATGTTCACCATGCTTGCAGGTGCACTACCAGCGAGGAAAGAAAGAGGCCGCTCACCAGAGAGTTCTTGCCACAAGCTTCCTGCATTCCTAGTGTTTTACAGGCCTGGTCTTCTGGCCCTTGGTCAAGTCTCTGTGCTGCCGCTAATCCCTCCAGTGAATCCCACCTGTGTCAGCTGGCTCAGACTTCATGACTTGTGCTCTGTGCAACCAAGCCCCTATCTGGTAGTGCAGGCCAGCGGCTGCGTCAGCTAAACAGTCTGGTTCTCTTCCTAGACAGCTTCCTTTTGAGAGACTTTGAACATCACCATAGGTGCTCCTATCTTGATATCCTTAGTCTTTTTTTCTTGGTACTGGGGCTCGAACTCAGGACCTTTCACTTATGCCGCTAAGCTACCTCTCCAGCCTGGCAGCTTCCTTTTGACATACCAGAAGCTTCCTCCTCCTTTGACACACAGTCCAAACTAATGTTTTTGGCCCTTTTTATTCCTCGGTTTCATATTTTCATAATAGACACTGATGGAGCTGTCCCTCTCCTCTCCGTACTGGATGCTCCTTGTGCTGTGGCCATTGTTGATTGGCTAGATTTAGCAATCTCATCTTAAGCTGGGACAATGAAATTTCTCTTTCCTGAGAATTTAGAAGTTTGAACTTGGGAATGTGAAAATCACAGGTTGCTAAATGCTAATCATCAACATGGTCTGATACTAGGGGGAAGGTCTATACTTTTTTATTTTTTGGCTTTTTGAGGCAGAGTCTCACTATGTGGCTCAGACTGGTCTTGAACTCATGGCGATCCTCCTACCTCAGCCTGTCAAGTGCTGTGATCACAGGCCTGTGCCACCACATCCTGCTGAAGCTCTGTAATTTTCTGTTACTGATGTTTAGGATTTGTCTTACTCCTAACACTTATCACCAAGAAAGTTTCAATAAATTTACTTTTAATACATTTTTTATATTGGCTTATATTATCTATAACTAAAACAACATTAACTAATACAGTCTCCATGAAGACTCCTTGGAAAAAGGGCTAGAATTTCATTCAGTCACCCATTTATTCACCCATCAAACATTTATTGAGCACTTGCTATGTGCCAGGTATGTCCTAAGTGCTGGGAACCCAAAGATGGATTAGACAATTCCCTGAACCCTAAGAGATTGTTCTCTAATTAAAGGTATAAATGCATTCAGTCTTTCATTAATTTAATAAATAATTTTTAATTTAATAATTGCCAAACTCATTATACATGTAACAAGTGTGGTTAGTAAATGCTTTTCTTGTCCCATTTTACTGATGAAGGTAGTGAGTCACGGAGAAGTTAGACAGCTTTGCCCAAGTCACAGGATTTGTGTAGGGAGGCTGAAGTTCAAGAAAGGCTTGTTGTTGAAGCGACATGAGCAACTACTATTTTTTTTTTTTTTTAATTTTGTGTGTTTAGTACACAGATCGGACTTGTGGTGATCCTCCTCTTTTCAGCCACCCCACTGCTGGGATTACAGACATGCACTACCACGCCTGGACTCTGTCGCCAGCTCAGTGTGCCCCAGGGGTGGGGCTGGTGCAGCATGCAGGACCTGGAATCGAACCCTGGTCCATGTGCTGGCCAAAGCAGGTGCTTAGTCTGCTGAGCTACCTCGCCTGCTCATGCTACTTTTTTTTTTTTAAATCAAATTTTACTGGTACATTTGTAGAGATACATAATGATCACATTCATCATAAATAATCTGCACCTACACATGATTGAACTTGATTCTTTTTTCCCCATTCCCTCTCCCTCCTTTCAATACCTCTTCTGTTTATATACAAAAGCTTTGTTTCCATGTTTCCTTTTCACGTTTTCTTTACTTTCCCCCTCCCTCTGCTCAATTCCCCTTCCCAGATGTGGGCAGTCTTCAAAAAAGAAGAGCTTCGTGTTCCTGATACCGAACATAGAGCTTTGCACATGAACTCTTTATAATGATGAGAAGGAAGCAGCTCACACATCTGGCCGAGATTGTCTCCTATTTATGTGCAGGCTGGGGTGTTTCCTACTGCCCGCTGAGGCATCCTTTTTGTGACTTAGCACTGATGTATGGAGTAAACTAATCATTTGTATATCCCACTGAAGCTCACAAGAGCCTTATGAGGTAAGTAGTTCAGGTATTAATTTCATAAGAAGAGTGAGGAAACCAGAACTGAGTTTGCATGAGTCATTCAGGATCAAAGCTGACTCAGTGACAGAACAAAATAAGGAGCTGGTGTCCTGACCGCAGAAGGAAGTGGCTAACAGGATTCCTCTAATCTAGCTGGGCATCTTTACTCTTGCTCACATTCAGTTTAGGCTTTGCTCTTTCCACCCTCTGTATTTGTTCTACAGGTTCCCTCCCTCCCCTACACCCTTCACTTCCTTCTCAGTTTCAGCTAAATCCTGCTCCTCCAAAATCCAATTCATTCCACATCCTCCTTCTAAGCTTCTTCACATTCATGCAGCTATCTAAACTTTTAAGAAAGCCCTTATCTCTGCTTCCAACTAGATTTCTGCCTGAAAATTTCCATATGGAAATCTGATTTGAAACTGCCACCCAGGGTCCCTCCTCAGAACTCCTGTTGCCTAATCTTCCAGCCTTGGGGTGGACTTTTATCAACTGCTTTTATAAGTGTACATTTGCCTTTCCATGTAAGCTCCATGGAACCTAAGCTTCTGTTTAAGCCTCACCTACAGATTTATGTTCTTCTAGGGATCATAATGTTTGCTGGCTCAAAAAGGATCTATGAGCTGAGTGTGGTGACAAACACCTGTAATCCCATCACTCTGGGAGCCTAGGGCAAAAACTTCAACCCATCCTGGGCAAATTAGCAATTTAGCAAGACCCTGTCTCAAAATAAAAAAATAAAAGGGCTGGAGATGTATCTCAGTACAAGGAACCCAAGTTCAATGTCCAATACTGTCCCCTCCCCTCAAAATCTCTGTGTCCTCCCAACCTGCTGTTAGATTGCTTGGTTCCTGAATCAGGCAATGCTGAAAACCAGTCAGCGAGTTCCTAAAGTTCCAGGGGACTCAGGAAAATGCAGTGACTCTTACAGGCATACTTAGCAATTAATAATAATATTTAATGAATGCTTAGTAATTGCTAGGTAGGTCCTGCACAAAATACCTTAGATCCTCATAACTATTATTATTCCCATGGAACAGAGAAAGCGGCAGAGGTCACTCATCTGGTAAGGGTACAGCTAAGGTTCAAGCCCAGACTGACTCCAGTCCATACTCATAACTGTGACATTAAATTATTTATGGGTAACGGAACGTCTCTTGGTGTAAGATCAATTTTCTCGTGTTCTAACAACTCTGATAGTACTAAAAGGCTGAGAAAATAATACTTACTATGTTCCTAGTCTGGGTCAAGTATTTTCATAGTTCCTTAACCAATATAATTATTACAATGAAGCTATGAAGCAGAATGATTGACTTAATTTAACAGGATTTAATTAACTTAACTTTGGGTCCCAAAGTGGTTAAATGCTTGATTTTTGGCTTCCAGTGATTGGCAGAATTGGAACTAGTCTTCCTGACTTTCGAACAAAGACTTCTGAGGAGATTGTATGGAAAATTCTGACAGGGACAAATGTGATGGCACAAGAAGAAGCTTGTGTGAGAGGCGTGCACGAGTCTCTGGGTTCAATCCTCAGAGGTACAGCAACAGGAGAAGCAGAAAAAAGTGTTAATGTGTGGTGTACATTTGAAGAATGGTAATGATCCAAAAAAGGCTATCCTAGTAAGACTTTGCTAATGAAATAAAGAAGCTGCCTGTGCTGGGCTTGGACGTAACTCTGGAATTTACAGGTAGACGCGGCTATCGCAGGACACCACCGGCCTGGAGAACCGGGTTGGAGAACCACGGAACCCGCTCTAGAGACTTAGGCTCAGCCCCTTTCTTTCTTCACTCTCCAATTGGCTCCTTCTTCGAGGACTCCCGTCTCCCCCTCTGTCTGCACCAGTAAGCAGCTAAGCCATACCCACGACCTGGATCAGGTCTCCAATCAGGTGCCAGGCCCACAAGTCGCGCCAGAGAAGCCCCTTCTATACCCGAGTTGCTCTGCAATGGCCTACGATTGGTCAGACAGCAGCAGGGGCCCGCCTTCTTCTTCCCCGGATTGGTCGGCTGCTCTCGGGCCCGCCCCTCCTGGTCGGCCCCTCCCGGGATCCCCCTTGGCCTCTGGACCTTGGGCGAGCCGCGTCCTCTGAGGGTGGCCCCGCCCCCGAGTGACTGCCAGACCAGGAATTGGCGGCGGCGCTGCAACCATTTCCGGTTTCGGGAAGGTGGGTGCGGTGCGGTGCAGAGCCGAGCGGCACTGGAGCGCGGCCGCCGCTGCTCCTCACAGACGCTGCTTTGCCTCTGGTGCTGCTGGGACGATGCGGCCGGAGCCCGCAGGCTGCTGCTGCCGCCGCCCCGTGCGGGCGAACGGCTGCGTGGCGAACGGGGAATTGCGGAACGGGTACGTGAGGAGCGGCGCCGGTGTCGCCGCCGCCGGCCAGGTACGACGACCGAGCGGAACCGAGCGGCCGCGCCGGGCCGGGGGAGATGGGCCGGAACCCCGCGAGCTGGGGCCGGGCCGGGCCGGGCGGAGCCCCGGTGAGCGGGTGCTGGCGGCGGGGTCTGGGCACGGAGCGCCCCGGCCTGAGTCTGCGGGGCGGCGCGGGGCTCGTGTCCGCGCGTCCCTAGGCCGTGTCCGCTCGACCCGGAGGCAAGGGCTCCTCTCCGAGTCCGGGGTTCCGCCTTCTGCTGCTTGCTCCCGCCAGAAGCGTGGGCCGCGCCCCGGGGAAGCAGTCGGTGGCCCGTCGGACTCTAGCAGGCGCCAGCCGAGGGCTCCTGGTTTTTCCGCTTTTCCTCCCGTGGGCCCCTTTAAGACCTCGGAGTGCGTGATTCCTCTTAAAAGTACAGCGGTTCAGGTACTTGGGGTCTCTGAGAGGCTAAGAAACTTGAGACGGCGCTAGATAGAAACCCAGTCTCTTCCTGCCACCTTCTGGACTCCCTCCCCAAGGAAGACGCACAGTGGATCTGGCAGCCAGCCCTGCCCGGTGCTTCGAGGGAAAGCATTGTCACCTTGCTCTTTCTGTTCGTGGTGAGACCCTCCTCGCTCGCCAGGCCGAAGGAGGGGGTCCTCTCGAGCAGTTGTGTTGTCACGTGGGACTGTTTTAACTTGTATTCAGTCTTTGTACCAGTTAACCAGGAGTTAACCAGGAGTGAATCATCAGCTAAGTTTAGCAGTTGTAAAATGTTTCAATAGTTTTGATTGAAGATATGCTGATTATCAACCCTCCAAATCTCTGGATTGGCGGGCCATACGTTTTAAAAGTTAAGCTGCTTAAAAGATGCGAGATCAGTGCTGCTGGAACAGAACGTTGTGATAATTGACTTTAATACTTTTAAGTCTTGTTCAGATATTAAGGAAAACTTCTTTTTTAACCGCCTTTTTCCCTTTAGTAGGTGTGTAACTGCTAGAGTTTTGCTAAAATGGTGTTTGTGTGTGTGCGTTTTCTTTCTTTTTAGTACTGTAGATTGAACTCAGCACAGAGCTACATCCCCAGACCTGTTATGTTAAGATAGGATCTTGCTAAATTGTCCAGGCAGGACTTAAACCGGCAATCCTGCTGCAGCCTCGATAAGGGATGCGACTGTAGGCATCAGCACTCCTGGTTAGGACGGTGATCTTAAATTGGTTTTAATCTAAATGTGTAGCAGCCTTCTCTCCCTACCAGTAACTTTATGGGTAGGCCTGCTGGTTTGCTAAGAAGCAGAAAGCAAAGCCTTTCTCCAGCTCACCAGAGAGCTATTAGACTAGAGTTTGGGGAAAATATATCAGTCTTCATTTCTCTGGATGCACAGGATGATACAAATAAGGAAAAAAAAAATTACACAAGATTCAAAAAGTTTTCCTTTTTTAAGACTTAGTTGTGAGAGGGGACATATAATCATCAGAATCTCTGTTTTCCTAGGAATGTAAATGGCTAATAAGACAAAATTGTTGTGGGTATAATGATTGGAAATTTAATGATTTAGGTGAATGAATGAAGTATGGCTTTTAGGTGGAAAAAGGAAGTCAGGATTAAGTTGGTCAGATGTTAGAGATCCCTTGTGTTTGAGTGTAGTCAGCAGGAGTTGTATTCTGCTTAAGTAGTAAATCAAGTTCCTCTTATAATCTATCAAGGTAGCATTTGTAGGTGTGATATTTCTTGAGAGCTTGCCAACTAATAATATGAGGAAACTTCATAATATTAAATGAAATTTAAAAATCTATGACTATAACATCTGGCTGAATTTTTAGGACATGATTTGGTAAACAGTTTAATTCAAGGCGCATGGGTGGCATTTGGTAGAATGGTCTAATGGAATACTCTCAAGGTCTGAAACATCTCTTCTTGAAAACTTTTTCAGTAGGCTTTTTATTTTTATTTTATTTTTTTTTTAATATTTATTTTTATTTATTACATTTATTTATTGTGTGTGTGTGTGTGTGTGTGTGTGTGGCCAGCTCAGCCTACCAGGGGGCGGGGCTGGCTGGCATGTGGTGCTGGGGGATCGAACCGTGGTCCCTGTGCTTTGCCAAGCTTGTTTCAAGTAGGTGCTTTAGACCACTGAGCCATCTCTCCAGCCCAAGTAGGCTTTTTAAAACAAAGACTTCAGGTCTACGTTTGGACATACATATAGAAGAACATCAAGTTTTGGTTTTAGTTTTTCCTCATGCCAAAGACAGATTTTGGTAACTTCATGACAGCTTAAGAGAGTGTCTTTTTAAAAAGTTGTTGGACCAGCCCTGGCAAGCACCAGGTCCTGGGTTTGATCCTTGGTACCCCGCTCCCCCCCTGCAAAAAAAAAGTTGTGGTTAACATAAGGTCACACAGTGTAGTTCGACTTGGTGGAAAACTCACTATGTAGCCCAGGCAGTCCTCCTGCCTCAGCCTCCTGAGCTGAGTTTGAAGGTTGAATATGTGGGCCAAGAGCAATCTTGGGTTGGAGTTGAGTTCGATAAAATGGATGTTTTGGTAGGAAGTTATGACAGACTGCTCAGTGATGACAGTAGACCCGTTTCTGAACAATGAAGTAGTACTTCTTGCTCTCTTTAACATTCACATGAGTGGAAGAAGGGCTTCTGTTTTTGTTGGACTTTATTAAAATCCATCTTTTTTGTTTGGTGAGACAGGGTCTCACTGTGTAGTTCAGGTTGCCACTGAACTCACAATATAGCCCAGACTGGCCTCCAACTTGTAGCAGTCCTCTTGCCTCAAGCCTCCCAGTGGTGTGCACCATCACAGCCAGCAAAAGTGATTTTTTTTTTTTTTTTTGGAGACAGGGTTTTACTATTCAGTTCAGGCTGGTCTTGAGCTCGCTTTGTAGTCTGGGCTCGTCTTGAATGCATAATGATTTCTTGCCTCAGCCTCCCTGGTACTAGGATTACAAGTGTGTGCCACCATACCTGGCCAGGCTTCTTTCCTGTTTATAAAGACCTTCAGAAGTTTTGCAGGAAGTTTCTCCACACTGAGTTGCATTATTCAGTGAATTGAATTACCAAGAATTCCTTCCTGTGGATTTAATATTTTGTTTTTATTTTTTTGGCGGAACCGGGGATTGAACTCAGGCCCTTGCACTTGCCAGGGAAGTGCTTATTCTACTGAGCCATCTCCCAGGCCCCCAATATTTGATTTTTAAAATGCCACATTTTGAGTACCCAAATAAATTAGCTTGCTTATTTTTAAAATTCCATGTTAATAACCTTTTCTGAAGATCTTCCATTTTGTTATAGAACTTTTGAGATTTGGACATAATTTTGCTTTTCTTAAATAGTAAGTAGGAAGGAAAAAAAATTTATCTGTCTAAATGTAAGGCAATTTCAGACTTAATTTTCCCTTGCAAGAAGTTTTAATGAGATATTAAATGAGAGTCTTCTTGTTATTAAAATAAGTAGATTCTGTCTCGAGGTAGCATTGGAGCACAAGTTAGCTTAAATAGTAAGAGTAGAATAAAGTGTTCTGCCAGTTCGTTACATTTTTAAGGGGGCAACTGAATAAGGAAAGGTGGTTTGCTAAATGGATAATATTTATGTTTCCAGTGAAGGGAAATAGTCAGTGGGCATTTAGTATGATAGTGGCTTCGGGGAAAGAGAAGATTGTTTATAAGACAGGAGCAGGAGGAGTATCCAGAATGGCCACTGTGTACCACTTCAGGTTTGACAGGGCCTGATGAGACATCTTGAAGGCCTCCAGGCTTTACAGAAATAATGTCGCAACTACAGTACTTTCCAGTTTTGGATAAGGTTTTTGTTTCAGATGCCTTTGCTCCAGAAGGAACATTTGACTTTTATTAGCTAGATCGGAGAGATTCCAGATGGTTGTTATGGTCAAGAATTCTTTTTAATAAGAATATTTTAAATAAGAAGAAACAACACTGTTCTTAGGATAGTATCTTGAAACGTGAATGCTCAGGGAGGGCAGACTGCCCACTTTTAGGGTGGGTCCAGGTGCACTAGAAGCTTGCAGTGCTCTGAGCAAGAGAATTAGTTGGTTGATTCAATTAGATTCAGCTTTTGAAAAGAAGTAGTGTTTGTTGGTAGAATAGGCGATTGAGAGGGATGGGTAGAGGCAGTGTTTGCATGTGGAGTGGGTGTGCCTTGCTTGATTAAATAAATGGTTTGAGGTCTTAAAAGCCAGTTGCCTTCTGAACAGTTTCTAAGGCCATAATGTAATTTGCAACTTGTGGTTAAGAAAACCCTTTGCTCTTGCTCTGTTTCATCTCAGAAAATTTAGTTTGGCTTCAAGACTAGTATGAAGTTTGAGGTAGCCATTTTTTTCCTTTTATTTTGAAATAATTTTTAATTCTGATTGTAGAAATAATACATATTTACTGTAGGGCCTTCAAACATCACATTAGGGGCTGGAAGATAGCTCAGCAGCATAAGCGCCTGCCTGACAAGCGCAAGGTGCTAGGTTTGATCCCTGGTAACAAACCAACAAAAAACCCCCAAACACTGGGATAATGCTTATATGAGGCAGGGATTCATTTTTTAAAATTAACTGTTATGGGGCTGGGGAAATAGCTCAGTAGAATAAACTATTGCCTGGCAAGCCCAAGGGCCTGAGTTCAATCCCTGGTTCTGCCAAAATTAATAAATGAATTTAACTGGTACATAAAAATTGTACATATTATTGGAATACTATCTAATACTTAAATCAGGCTAAACATATCTGTCTCTAACATTTATAATTTTTTATGGTGAGACCTTTCAAAATCCTTTCTGTAGCTTTTGAAATATGCAGTAATTTTGTTATCTGTAATATAGTAACCATACTGTTCAGCATTGCACCAGAATTTCTTGCTCCTAGTTAGCACCCATTGACAGATTACAGTTAAACTGTAATTATAGTAAAACTTTCTCTGTTGCCTTTCTCTTCCAGCCTCTGGTAACTATTGTTTTACTCTCAACTTCTGTCAGATCAATTTTTTTTTATTTGAGATATAAATAAAATCATGTGGAGTTTGT